AGACTTGAGTACATAAGGGAGCAGGGTGGGTGCTGTCTCTCTCCCTGACTCCCTGCATCCCGTTTGCCTGTGGGTCTTGATCCTGCTGCACTGCCAGCTGGGCAGGGGTGGGGGGCATCATCTTAGCCCCCTCTCCCCCACAAAAATTAAAGTTAGTGCCTGTGACTGCGCAGAGGCTGTGCCAGCCTCATTTTGGGTCCTCCAGACACTTTTGGGAGCACCTCCTACTGCTGGGGGTGGGGGGGGAAGCACTGACTCCTCACTGCAGAAGCTGACCCCTGGGTGTGCTGGAGTCAAAGGCTCTCTAAATCAGTGCTTCTCACCTTTTGTTGTACCAGGACCCATCTGTAAACATTGGTGGCCAGCCCTGACCCAGTATCCCTCACTCCTGGCCTGCTACCCCTGCCTCCAGGCCCCCAGTGTGTAAGGCAGGAGGGGCCCAAGCAGCCCCTTGCAGGTTGGCGCTCTGCCAGCCTGCAAGGGAAAAGCCACGGTTTCCTGTGCTTTTTCTCCTTTAAAGGAGAATCCATTTTTAAAGTTTCTCCATGATGCTTTCATATGTTCTTGCTACATGCTTTTGGGTCTCCACCCACCAGTTAAGCAATACTGCTCTAGGCAGCAGGGTGACCTCAGACCCACAGTGCCCAAGCAGGGAGGAGAGGAGCGGTATCTTTAGCCTTATGAGGTGGCTTTGCTTTAGCCATGCCCTGAATGCAAACCTGGTTGGCAAAAGACTGTACTTCTGGTTGCTTCCTGGTTGGCAAACACTACTTACTAGCAGAGCCGGGTGCCGAGCGGGTGCAGTGGCAGGGCTGTGCCTTGCTTTTGGACTGGACCCTGCTGCAGGAGCCTCTGGGGATTTTTTGTCCCTCCCCCTGTACATCCTCTTCCCCTGCTGCTGCTGCTCTCCCTGCTGCTGTCCTGGGTCAGGGAAGCTTCAACTTCAAACTTCACCAGTGTGGGAGGGAGGAGGCTGAGAGCAGGGGTTGCTGCTCCCCCGCAGGTGGATAAAGATATACTGGGGCTGTGGACAAACACAAAATTGAATGCCCCGTCCCCCTCCCCACAACTGGACTCCAGAGCAGGGAGGGGCCCCTTCTCCTCCTGGTGCTGCCACCACCAAGGGTGGGCAGGCTCCCTGCCCCTGGGGAGGCTGGGTGGATCCAGCTGGGCTGGGGGTGGGGTAGCACATGCTGCTCTCTCCTCTCTGCTCCCTGCCCCGCGTCCCCCTGAAACCTGCGGTTTCCTGAGGGAACCCAGGCATCCAGGGGTCCCTGATTGGCAGGGGTCCCTGTACCCGGCCCCCGCTGCACCATGTGTTATTCTGCCAATGCCCATGACCCTTTTGCCAAATCCTGGATCTGCATCTGCCTACTAATATCATGGGCCTTAAATTGTCATTGGAGCCCAAAGGCAATGCTACACTGTGGATACCGAGAAGTAGGAGGAGGATGGGATTCCTGCCCCTGCTCTGCACCTCCCAGCTCTGTAACCCCCAAAGAACATGACAACTCAGCCAAAAATGCTGCTACTGCAGGCATGAGAGATATTAGCAACCCATTTTCTTCCTGCTGTATGTCCCACTTTGATCCACAGGGAAAAACGTGGTGTGCAAAGAGTGGTAAGAAGGTTTCAGATTTGGGATTTGAGAAGCTAAAGCAGGGGAACTTCACCCCACCCTGCATGAGCAATGGTTTCAGGCTCTCCTTAAACTCAGGCAGGGATTGCTGTGTTGCTTACACTGAGATCAAAATGGGGTTTCCTTTTTCTCCAGATGGGTAAGATCCTTAGTTTTGTTTTGGATGTGAACTGAGATTCTGGACCAGAGCAGAAATCCTGTTCTCCTTCTCCCACCTCACATACACCCTCCTCTTTCTTCATGATGATTTCATTTTGTGGGTCCAAACAGGTGCTCTGAGAATTACCAGACAGATCATAAATGAACCTCTGGCCTCAGCACGGAGGATATTGTGCAATGCGAGAATAGGCTGACACCAATTGCTATCTTGAGAAAGAAGAATGAGCTAGAGAAGAATGGGATGATGACCAAAGGCCTGGCCACCAGCATATCCCGGGTCCTGGAGCGGTTGGTGGGCTTCAAGCAGGACATCCAAATGCACTGGTTATCAGGGAATATCCAGCTTGTTGTCCAGGCTGATGGTTGCTGGCTAGAGTTCAGAGCAGGAGCTGCCAATGTCACAGTGCTGGTGTGGTATGACCAGTACAAGAAGGAGGTCAAAGTCTTCAACACCTGCTGAGGAGAGATGAACATGATGGATATCCCTCCACATGTCAGTCCTTCCCCAAATAAATGCCTCTGGTTGCAGTCTGTTTCTTGGAGGTGTCTAGCCATGGAGCTCCCTGCAGCACAGAACCCCCTAGCACCATGCTCTGGCGTTGGGGTCATCATGGATGGTGCGGTGAAAGGGCTCTCTATTGAGCCCCACTCATCATCTGTATGCACAGCACCCTCTAGTACTGCACAGGGGCACTGTGGTGAGCACCCCGCACCTGAGACCTGAGTACATCAGGGCAGACAGTGGGTGATGTCTCTCTCCTTGACCCCCCACATGGCATCTGCCTCTGGGTCTTGCTCAGACCCTAGTATACTGCCAACCTCCTGCCCCTGCCTTCGGACACAGGGAAGGGAAGGGGTAAGCATGAGATCCCAGATTGGGGTAGGGGGCCATAAGGCTGGAGGAGGGGTGTGTGCCAGGCCAAAGTCAGGTGCCTCAGTGAATGGTACTGATGTGCCCAAGGCTCTCCAAGCTGGCATCTGCATGGCCTCCTGTGGGGCACTGAGGAGGGCAGGCTTGTGTTTGAATCTTCTCTGTCCAGCTTCACCTCTACCAAATATGCAGTGACAAGGAGGACCTCTGCAGAAAGCTGGCCTAGTCCTTTGGCCAAGCCCTGGATGGCACCCTTGTCCTGCTGTAGCCCTGCACTCACCCTGTCACCCTGGTGCTGATGAAGATGTTCCAGCACCAAGTATCCAGTGCTAACCTGGCCTCAGGACTCTACCGCTGACACCCTCACCCTATTGCCACAGCTTCTCCCCAGCTAGCCTAATGTGGGCCCTGCCTGATACTGGCATCACCGTTAAAACTGGAACACCTCTACTTGATGCCATCCTCATAGACCCAACTCCATCTGTGATATCTGAACTGTATCCAAACCCCTGATCCCATCTCCAGAGCCCTGAAATTGTCTTACATGACTCTAAACCGCAGCTCTAGCCTCACCTCTGTCTCTGATCACCTCAACCCCCAACCCTGCACCTGAAACCTCAAGCCTTTCCCAAAACCCAGTCTGCTTACCCACCCAGCTCTTCCCAGGTCACCTCCCTCACCCCCCAGCCTTTGTGCTTCCAGCATCGATAACTCTTATGTCTTATCCTGGCCATAACCAGATACTCTCAACCCTGTGTTCAGTGGTCAGCACTCTCAAGGGTGTAGAGGGACTGACCAGGGGAAGGGACGTGGACAAAGCCACGAAGTGGATTAGCCCATGCAGTCTGATCATAGCACTATGGAAGCTGTGTCCACTTTTTATGTATTTAATTAATTGTTGACATTCCATTAGGATGATAACCAATGAGCAGAAAACACAAAAGCTCAGGATTTGGATAAAAAAATAAGAAGATAAGCCCATCATCACAGGCCCCTGCTGCTATTAGCAATTGAGATTGTAACATTATTAGTGGCACCACAGGGATCCACAATGATCTCCACAAAGGTCAGGACCCCATGCTGTGAGGCACTGAACAGACACACAGGGAAAAACAGCTCCTGCCCCAAAGAGCTTTCAGTCTAAATCAGTGGTGACCAACCTCCAGACTGTGGGTTGAATCCAGCTAGCAGGGCTGTGTCATACAGCCAGCAAGGCCATGTTGCTGAGCACACAGGGCTCTCCGTGGGTCTGGAAATCCTGCAGCAGGGATGGGGGAGAGGGTGGTGGTGCTGACTGTGAAAGCTGTGAAAGCTTGGACGGTGTCTTGCACAAAAATGAAAGATAGTGGTTAAAGCAAGACTGGGTTGTGCTAACAAGCCTGCCACTAAGAATATCAAAACTCCACTAATGGCTTGCAACCCATTAGGTATAAGAGAGAGAGGAGCTTGTGGCACCCAATACCAGACCAATGCCATAAAATAATAACAGTCATGGTTCCTTTAAAAGGAAAATTGCAGAGACCTGACACACTCATCACCTGTGTATATTCAAGCTAAGAAAGCCAGAGGAAGAGGCTGAGCCAGTGTAACTAGAGAAGGCAAGGCAACTACATATACATTTCAATTGAACTAGCAACTAAAGAAGACAAAAGACTAAATATACATTTCAAGCAAATGCTTGAAAAGGTGCATTGAATACAGGAAAGAGGTCCTGTACCGGGCATCCACACATTTCTCAAAACAGGTATCCAGTATCTAGGTGTTACAAATGTCTCAATCATTCAGTGTAGGTCTGGTATTTTGTAAACAGACCATCCCCAGATATTGCAAATTTGCCCCGTTGATAAACAAATCCCCAAAGAAAGGTCTGGTAACCAATACCTCTAAGCATCCTGTTTGACCACTCAAGGCCCATCACATTTAATTGACCTATAACTTCAGGGGCTGAGAGAAACACAAGTCTCCACACCTAGACAAATCCAAAAACAGGAGCCAGGCTATTTAACAGTTGTAATATGATGAGATCACCCTTTTCCTCCTTGCTTTTTTTGGACTTTTGTTAACCAACTGTGAAGAAGGAATGCTTTGAAACTATACAATTAAAACAGTATAAAACAAAGCAGAACTGCCAACAAAGTTTGCAGCCCAGGAAAGGTCAAGAAGCCATACTGTACCCAGCTTGACCAGCAAAGTATCCTGCTCAGTGAAGGATGCAAGATTGGACCAACTTCCCTGCCTGCATTGGCAAGAAAACACTGCTGCAGTTAAATATGTACTAGGAGTTCTGCAATAGCTCATTTGATATTGGGAAAGAG